ACAAGACTCCTTAAACTTTCAATTCAGATAACTTGATATGATATACCTTAGTATCTTTTTTTCTGATGATTTTGGCAGCCTGATTAATTATATGCACCTCTATATATCATATTATTCAGTTTATTTGCCTATTTTTACTAAAGATGTTTTGTAAGCTTCTATTAGTCTGATAGCACTATCAAAAGTTTGTGCTATCTTTTTATTTAAGATTTTTAAGTAGGCTTTCAACTTTATGATTTCTTTACTTTTTGTGTCCAATAATCTTATTATAGGTTTGCACTAAAGTCTTATACAACACTGGTTAAGCATTCTACTATGTATACATAATATTATACTTTATATAGATACTCTAAGCTCTCATTTAAGATAGTGTAACTGAAGGTTACAGATTCATCTAATCCAACTAATCAACAAAGTCAGTTACTATAATACAGATATAATTTTCAAAATTTATCATCTATGGGATTTGAACTCTAGACCTGCCACTTGACAATTGACAATCTGACCACTTTACTAGGTCATTACACTCTGTCAAAAAGTTATTTTATTAATTAACAAGAAAAGACTATTTTTAGATTTCTGTTTTTATAGAATTCTAATAATTGTTTATAAAAAAAAAACTAAAACTAAAAAGTATTTTATTAGAAAAACTAAAAAATATTTTTTAAAAAGAAATAATACTTAAAAGTATTCTTTTTTAAAAAAAAAATAGTTGTAATTTGAGAATTACTTTGATTTGGAAAAATTTAAAAGTTTATATATCTATTAATAGTTGTTAAAGTTAAATATCAAAACAATAAGAGTTAAATATTAAGCATCAAATATTAAGTATTAAGTATTAAGCATCAAGTATTAAACATCAAATATTAAATATCAAGTATCAAGTGTTAGACATTAAATATCAGTGTTAAGTGTTATAACTTTAAAACATTAAAGTATTAAAATATTAAAATATTTAAAGCATTAAAATAATTATGACTAAAAATAATAAAAATAAAAATATATTAAATTAATAATATAATAATAATAATATAACATAATAAAAATTTATCTTAAGTGTGAGTCTTATAGATTAGTAGTTAAGCTTCCATATCTTTATAGTTAATATCAATAGTTTAAGTCTAGCTAGAGGCAAAAATTGAAAGATTTTAGTTTCTGTAATCTAATAGAAGTCTGTAATTAAATACAAAGTTCTGTAGTCAAGTTCAAGTACAGTATATGACAGAAACAGTAATTTCTAAAAGGAAACTAACTTTGCAAAATAGGTATTATATGTAATAGTGACATTATAGAAGGTTCTGTTATATAAAAAGTTGTATATATAAGTTCTTTAAAGACAAAGCAGTACTAACATCTTTATATTTAATCTATAAGGTACTTAATTGGAAGGGTAATACTAAGATAACACCAACTAGAATAGTAAGAGAAGCAGTGCATGCATAAAAGGTTTGTAATAAAAAATTAGTCTTATCAAGATTGAAAGCACTTCTGGTACTGTAAAATAACTAAAAATAAAAAATAGTTATATGTATAGAGAAGTCATAGTCTGTTTTGTATATCTAAAGGTTTTAAACTAAAGCTCTAATTACTCCTATATAGGAGCCTATGGCAAAACAAGTAAAATATACTAATATAAATACTGTATCAATCAAGGTTAAAATATCTAAATTGAAAGTAGAAGCCTATTTAAATACAATATAAACATCTTAGTCTAAATATAGATTTAGACTAAGATATTCTTAAAAAGATAGAAAGATTGTTTATAATTAGAAACAGAACAAAAAAAAACTTATAGTATTGAATAATAGTAAGCAAAAACATTGGCCAATGGCTAAAAGAGAATGTCTACTTATCTTTGAAATACAATTCTATTTATAGTATAAAAGAGAGTATTTAAAAAGCAGATTAGATGCACAATCTATTGAAAAAAATAATACTATAACCAAGAAGAATTGCAAACTAGCAATAGTAGCAGAAACTTAACTTAAAATATATGCTACTAGTATCTGAATTAAGAAGTTAGCAATAGTAGCAGAGCTTTGGCTTAAGATATATATTACTAATATCTGAATTGAAAAGTTAACAGCAGCAGCAAAGTCTTGGTTTAAGATATGTATTACTAATATCTAAATTAAGAAGTTAGCAATAGCAGCAGAACTCTGGCTTAAGATATGTACTAGAGAAGTACACTTTAGGCAAACCAAAAATAGAAGCTCAAAAGAAGCAAATAACCTAGTAAACCAATTTGAAAGTTATTAAAAATAAAAAACAATATTTTAAAATTATATATAAATCTAATAGTAATTTTTTTTATATTTAATTTTATGAAAAATTATATTAAATAACCTAATTTTAATTATTAAATAAAAATTGCAAAGTATATCTTTCTAATTCTAATAACAATAAAATTATTAAAATAGGTTAAAAACTCATTAAGATATAAATTTTTAAAGATTAGAATATAAAATTATAAAATAAAATTAACTAATAGGTTTACATAAATTAACTAATTAAATTCTTCTTTTTTGTACTATCTAAAAAAATTTTAATTCATCTAAGTAAACTTTATTATATATACAAGTATATTTTTTAAAAATAATACAATACATTAAAATTTTACTATAATAGATAAATAATTTTATTTATAATATTATAAATTTTTTTTATTAATTAATTAAAAAAAAAATACTTCAATTAACTTATAATAATCATTACTACCTTTATTTTTAGAGTTAGGATGTAGTTTGAGACAGAAGCAAAGATTAGATATAATAATTTGAATTTTAGATTATATGAGGTTTTCAGAAATTCCGAACATTTTTATTTAGTCTACCTGACTCTGTTTTTTGAAATATAGCCTCTAGGTAATGATCATTATAGGTTATAATTAGTAATATTCTAATTAAAAAATAAAAAAGTTTTATTAGTAGCATATATCAATTTTAGATAAAAATTTTAATATATCATACATAACTATATAAAAATAATCTACATGCTTTTATTCTTAAACTATTAAATTTTTAATTTTTAATTTAAACAAATATTTTATAAATTTTTATTGCAAAATTTTTAATATTATAAAATCTACAGAACTTTAAATTGCTTAGAAATTACAGAACCAAAAATTGTTTTTGCTATTACTAGTCTATCTTTATTTAATAATTATAAGTTTAAAGTAATTAATAATATAATTATATAAACCTTATATATAAAGATACATAATTATGCATAATTATACAAAGATAAATAAAAATATATAAGAAAGTTATAAAATATGTAAAGTTTATTATTAAAAAAATATAATTGTATATAAGATATATAATATACAAATATTAATTTTATAATTTAAAATTTATATAATATTTTAAATTTATTTAAAATTTACTAATAGTAAATTTAATAATAATTATCTATACATAATTAAAATTAAACCAATATTTATAAACTAAAAGTTAAAAATTAAAGGTTAAGTTAGAATAAGAATATTATTTATAATAAAATATAACAAAAATTTTTTTACTAGAGTATCAAAAATAATTTATATATAAAATTCTAAGTTATTAATAATTTTTTAAAAAGTTCTTTATTTTTATTATACAAAATTGGTTTACATATTACATCTAATTTTTAATTCTAATTAGTTGATAAAATTTATATTAAAATTTGTAAAAAATTTTTCTAAAAAAACCAAAAGATAGTTTTATAATTAAAATTTTAAAACATTAGCTGGTTTTGATATTACTCATGTACATATATTCTATATGCAATAGTAATTGTCTATTATTAATTACTTTAAAACTTATAATTATCAAATAACTCTAAAAATGTAAAATATGATTAATTGACATTTCTTAAAAAGGCTATATTGAACTTTTAAATGTCAACTCCCTTACTGACTTAAAATATTATAAACTTGAAAAGCTTATTTGAATACTTAGATTAATGTTCTTTATACACTAACCAAAATGAATTTAAATTGTAAATATTCATAAACTTGAAAGCTTTATTTGAATACTTAATTTAAAATAATCTTTATAATTACAAACTGCAATATGTTAAATAATACAAAATAGCAAACATTCATGATAGCTTATTGTATTAATAAATGTCTTCATACTTACGAACTCGTATACGGAATAAATATGATTTTGTTACAACATTATTTAAAAATAAATCATTATAACTATTGTAAACTAAATGTTTTTTAAATTTAATATAATTGGTTATTATACTTAATCTCTAAAAAAAACCAATAGTTTTAAGGATTTCAAATTTAAAGTATAAAATTCAAATATCGAATATTAACAAATAATATACTTTCATAATTCTCTTCCATACCAATTCCGTAATTGTAGCAAATAGCAGTTTTAAAAATTTACATAGAATTACCAGCCTCAGCTGACTTCAAATAATGCACAAATGCTTTATGCTTATCGATTTCAACACCAATTCCCAAATTATAACAATAATCAATTAAAATATTTCATTGGGATTATTCATCTTTGTAGATTTTTGATAAAGAATGAATGCATTATTTTATTCTTTCTATTCCAATTCCATGCTCGTAACAACAACCAAGCCAAAATACCGCATCTGAATCATTCATGTCAATGAAATTCAGTTGATTAAAATCACTAGTGACTTTAATAATTTCGTCTGAAGAGTTAGCATTTGACATTTAGCCGTAAGCAATTTCACAAGAAACTATATCGATATGTTACGTGTGATGAAATTTCATTAAAATACTATTTTTATCAAATGATCTACGTATTCAAAATACTGTTACTCAAACTATTTGGGAAATCCCAAACTGTGATGAATAATATCACATGAGATATTTACCTTCTTGTTGTTATTGCTGAAATCGAGTGATGTTATTCATCGCATAGTCTGAGACATCCCAAATAGTTTGGTGAACAGCCATACGTATGATCCATGTGATCGCCATCTTGATTAATTTAAATCTGAAGTCTTTCAAAATTTTCCGATAAGATCAAATAATGAGAATTTTTGCAATACCTATACTAAGAAATCATTTCACTTATTTTTGTCACGGAAAACCTAAGAGAGGAACTTATTTATCAAAAATTACAGACTTTGCTGCTAAAAAATGGGATCAGCTTTATCACGCTGAAAAGACTAGTTGGAAGGGGAAGCTGTATACTACGGGTCAACGACTATTAGACAAAATTGACCATCAGGAATATTTTTTAAAAAGTATACCATTGAAAGAAGAAGTGGAAAAAAATTTATCGTCAAAAGAGGATGTGAATGTGAAAAATAATATACAATTGAGTGAAAAAGAGGGAAAATATGCTGCTGAAAAGAAAAAAAATGATGATAATGTAGGTTGTTTAATGATTTTTTATGCAATTCTGTTATTATTATTTTTCTTATTATTTAATTACTCGATATTTCGAATAGGTTTTATTATTATATCCTTCAAAGGTTGTAAAGCCTGAACAAATCCTGACGACCCTCGAACAAATGCTTGGACAACGATTACCATATCATCGCAAATATATGATTTATTCTGCATTGTGCGTACCTTTAACTTCCACTTTTACATTAATACCAGTTATACCGAATATACCTCTATTTTATAATTTATTTCGTTTATACAGTCATTATAAAGGTACGATAATATCACTGTTTATAGAAAATCCTTTTGATTTTTGTTAATGATCATCTTGGTTTTTCTTTTGCCGCTAAAGCATTTAAGGGTGCACAATATCTTCAACTTATTATAGGCGATAAGCGACTAACACCTACCGATTCTAGTATATTAGATCAAATTTACGATGGTATAGATTTAAATAATTGTGATATTCTTGATGAAAATCGGATTCATCAAATAGCCCATGAATTTAATGTATTAACAATGGATGTTGATGTAAAAAGAGCCAGGCATCAAATATTGGAAAAGATAAAGCCTGAGTCCAAAGAAGAACATGCTAAGGTTGACAATAGATATAATAATAATGATGGTGTTAATAAGGAAAAGACAGAAAAACGATGACATACCTTTCAAAAAGATTAAACAAATATAAATTATTTCCGGTATATCGATGAAACTTGCTAATATAATTTTGTTTATTTTTTATTTAACTCGTCCTTTGTGCTGGAAATTTGTATTAAAAATATTATGAATTAATGTTCATATAATTTGATAAAGATACGTTAAAACTTTGTATAATTATATATATGTGTAAATAAATAAAAATATAAATTATTGACTTATTATTTTGTTTTAATAATTGGTGTTTTATTTCATAATTATCTTTCAAAACTAATTTTATTACAGAAATAACTATTTTTAATCAAACTTCACAATTTCTTTTGTAAATATATAACATGATATTAGTATTAAAAAGTTGATCCAAGGCCTACCATACAGTAACTGTGAAAAAATTTTTTGTTGAGATGATCATTTGCAATTATTCTTTCAATAAAATAAAGGTGATAAGTTCTATATATATTTTTTCAATCATTTTAGTCACTTCAATTTGCTAATAATCATTCATTTTTTTCTTTGGATGTATAAAACTTTGCACACTTAACACAACAATCTATTAGGTTTTTTGAAAAATTTTTTAGAAATAATTTATATTTAAAGATAAAAATATTTAATTATATTTGTTTAATTTGTTACTAAGAATTCTAGAAACCTTTTCAATACTGGATTTTTGAATTTGTAGAGGTTTTAGTCAAAGAAAAGTTGATAACCTATTATTATAAATTTAACTAAAAAAAATAGATATAATCTTATTATATAAAAAATATAACAATTATATTGATTATAATAAATATAAAATATAAATAAATAATTTTATTATACTAAATATAAAAGTTAGTCAAGTTACTTTGTATTTATATACATTAAAAGTACAAAATCACAATAACAAACTTTTTATTAATAACAATGTTAAAATAACAAAAATGTAAATTTTTACTAATGATGACCCTAAACTTCTCAACAGTAATGTTAATATGATAAAGACTTAAACATTATACTAAAAAAGATATCAACAAATGACAACTTCAACATAACTTTGATGATAACAATTTAATAGTAACAATGTCAAATAATATCTATTTTAAAAAATCATATTCAAAAATAAAATTAATAAAAAACAAAATAATAAATACAAAACTAATATAATAAAAAACACTTATCTAGAAAAATACTTAGTTTTAGTTAAATAATTAACTTACTCATTCTAGTCATCATGTAGCAGTATATCTTATAACTAGGTTTATAACAATCTGAAATTGTATTTTAAGAAGATATATGCAATAGATAATATGAATAACATTGTTCAATAATATAAAATATTATTCAAGATCCCAATTAATAGGTGCAAATTATCTAAGAAAATTTCTTCAAGACCTAGAGTTCAGTATATTATATATTTAGATAAAAAAACTACTAGTAAAAAAGATTACCATTAATACTCTTTACTGCTTAACCATCTTGCACTCTAAGTTTCTGAATAATTACTTCAAAGATATTAGGCAGGATTATTAGATTGAGATCTACAAGAAAACTTTTATGAAATAAAAAAAAAAGTTTAAAAAAATAAATGTAAAAACTATTGCTCCTTGAAACTGTTTTTCAGACATATTCATCTCCTTTGATGAACCTTTAAATAGACCAAGAGACCCATCTCATGTTTGGTCCATCTCTAAAGAAACAACATAAGAAACATCACATTTTATATATATAAGGAAAAAGAAAAAGTTTTTTTATTGTAATAAGAAGGTTCGAATATGTAAAAGAAAAAACAATAACAAATAACTTAAGAAATATTAAGTTCTTAAATATTTCGTTTATTGTATTGTTTTGCTACCAAATATAGTAATCCAACCAAAATTGTAGGCGTGTCCAATTACATATTGATCTACATATTGCATAAATCGTATTCTTGATATTTTTATAAACTTCTCATCATAAATGCATCAAAAAAGTAACCCTTAACCGGGCACATATTTCATTTAATTGCACAGGATCGATTTTCCGTTCATGTAATTTATCTTGAAAGTTATGTATTAAAGTTATTAGTGTCTGGCCAAAACCTTTATTATACTAAAAAAATTTATTCAATATATTATCTACCACTACAATTAACTTTTAAAGAATTATTATACATTGGTTAAAATAAAAAGTAAAATAAATAAAAACAATTTCTAAATACCAATAGCACAAACGTTTCAATAACATTATTCTATTCTAAACTACGAAAACTGGTACCGTTAGACATCCAGCTAAAAATTCTATCATGATTGGTCAAAAATAGGAACAGACACATTGTTAATATTAGATAAATTGATGGTGATCTAATCCAAAGATGGATCAGATATAAATATACACAAGGTCTGCTGCAATTACCTCATTACAGTAATCGCCAAGCTAATGACTTCTAGCTAAGTCTGAAAAGTAATTCAACAAATCATCTATCGAAAACTCTAAAGAAATATTTGAATCTGGATAACATTTATTGATAATCGAT